AGAGTGTAGCTTCTATTAGCGTGCAAACTAAGGGAGCACTAAAGTGTGTTGCGAAAGAGAAACCGAACGTTCCACCACCCAAAATCCAAATTAGAGAAATTGGAAGTAAGTATCAGGAAACGAATTTTCACAAATGGCAGCTAGTGTAAAAGAAAAATGGGAAAACTGTGCCAAATCTGGATCTCGTTAAAGCGACTAGAGTAAGACCGCAAGCAATTCTCATTAGCAAGACGGCAGACAAGTCTTACGCTGAAATGTTAAAGATCATTAAATCAAAACCAGAGCTACAAGAATTCGGAAAAACCGTGAACCTTATCCGAAAAACTAAAGAGGGGGAAATATTGATTCAGCTTACCAAGGAAGTTGGAAATTTAGCGAAGGACTTCTGCAATGAAATGAAAAACACACTTCAGAATTGTGTGAAATAGTGTAAAATCTTTAACATAACCCAGCCCAATAGAATGCAGGGACTTGGACGAGGTAACGTCCAACGAAGAGGTGCGCGCGGCGATTGCTGAGCAATTTCCAGCAATAAATGTAAGTGACATCAACGTCAAGTTTTGGCGTTCCGCAAGGTACAGCACAAGATCAGCAATTATTGACCTTCCTACTAAGGATGCCAGTGTACTGATCGCAGCTGCCTCAGTCAGAGTTGGCTGGGTACGCAGTAGGATCAGAAAGCATATCACACCCATGAGGTGGTTCAAATGTCTTCAATTTGGACACGCTGCTAGACAGTGCAAAAGCGATAATGACAGATCAGGCACATGTATGAGATGTGGACAAGATGGCCACAGGGCAAAAACGTGCTCGGCTCAACCAAAATGCATCCTATGTCCGGAAAACTGCAACGGTGGCAATCTACACTACTCAAAAAGTTCAAATGTGAATCCTATAGGAAGGCTATGCAGGAGTTTAAGTCCAAAAAAATGATTAAATTTCTGATATTGAACCTAAATCGATGCGAAGCTGCCCAAGACCTTTTATCCCAAACAGCTTTGGAATTAAAGGCAGATGTACTCGTAATTAGTGAGTTTTACAAATCAAAAGAAACCTCCAAATGGGTACAAGATACTTATGCAAAGGCTGCCATTTGGCTAGGATAGGACATAGTGTTTGAACCAAGAGTATTGATACAAAAAAAAGGTTTAGTACTTGTCAGAATCCGGGGTATCTACGTGTGCAGCTGTTACATATCCCCAAATATCTCCCAAGAGAGATTTGAAGAGTTTCTTGATAGGCTATCAGGAACAATCAGAAACAAAACTCCCATCATTGTTACAGGGGATTTTAATGCTTGGGCAGTCGAATGGGGCAGTAGTACTACGACGCGTCGAGGTAGATTAGAAACGTTCACCTCACTAAACCTAATACAACTGAACAATGGGCATAGCCCAACGTTCGATAATGGTAGAGGCGTTTCCTACATAGATCTCACTTTTGTCAGTCCGTCATTAGTAAGGGGTTCGCAATGGAAAGTAACAAACCACTACACCCACAGCGACCACCATGCAATTCGTTTTTCCATATTGCTGAAAGAGAAGTTTGTTTTGAAAATATCGCAGAGAAAAGCACAGCAAATAGTCTGGAAAACGAAGTATCTTGACACAGAGATAATGGAATTTATGACTGAAAACATGAGTCTCGGAGACGGGGATGCTTTTGAAAAATCAAATCACTTTATGAAGGCATTATGCAACGTCTGTGATGCATCAATGCCAAGAAAAGGCAGAAGTAATGGGCGCCCATCAAACTATTGGTGGGCGGAAGAAATAGCTTTACTAAGATCTCAATGCTTTGCCTCCTGTAGGCAATTCCAACGTCACAGATCTGGAGTAGATGCGAAAAGGCTTCTACAAAAATACCGAGAGAGCAGATCTAAACTTAAAAAGTTTAAGCAATAGTTTTTCCTTTATTTTTAACACGTTTCAATTTCTTACTCTTCTCGTACAATGCTTAACTATAACTAACTCATTTCATACTGTATGTCAAAAACTATGTGTCACTTTTAATTTAGCGTTGCCACAGTTCGGCCATCCTGACCCGCAATCGTCCCGATTGAACCTTTTCGATATGAATTGCCAATCCATGGCTTAATATTTGCCGCTTCCCATACCCCCTCATAAGGTATCTGACTAACTTGGAATCCCTCTACATCCTTTACTAGATATCGGTCATTAGGTAGAACTTTAGTAATCCTATAGGGTCCTTTATATTTTGGCAAAATCTTTTTACTGGCGCCTGCCTCACTAACAAAATTTTTCACAGCTACATATTCTCCTTCTTTGTATGTTTTCTGAATTCTATGACGGTCTTTTAGCGATTTATTATAGTTTTGATTTTTTACAATTTGATCTGAAGCCTCTTTTCTTACTTGCCTAAGATCTCTCAGAACGTCATCAGCCCTTAACTCGTCTAAATTTTCTTTCAAATAGTCCACAACCATTCCCTTTTGTCTAATTCCAAATAATAGTTCACTCGGTGTTATTCCAGTACTTCTATGAATCGTGTTATTAAAAGCGAACTCTATATCAGGCATAATTTTATCTAACGAAGCTGTATACCCTGCGTTAGTCATTTTAGCAATCATTGGTGCTAAACTCCGATTTATTCTCTCTACTTGACCATTCGCTTGTGGCGAACCTGTGGCGATTTTTATATGTCGAATATTACAGCAACTAAGAAAGTCTTCAAAGTCTTTTGATGTAAATGCACTCCCTCGATCGGAAATAATAATATTTGGTCTACTATACGAATTAAAATATGATTTTAAACACCCTAAAACTTCTCTTGTGCTAGTTGTTCGCGTAGCATACAATTTAACAAACTTAGAAAAAGCGTCTACTACCAAGAATACATACTTCTTTTTAGTATTTTTAATATTAACTGGACCAAAATGATCAATGTGGACAGTTTCAAAAGGGACTAAGCCCTTTGGAATATTGTGTAAATACCCCTCGTGCTTTCCGCACTTTGCTGAAAAAGTTATACACTTTAGACAATTGGCGATATGATCTTTTATTTTTGTTCTGAGTTTCGGAAACCAATAAGATTTAAGTATAGAATCAGCAACTTTATCGCATCCGAAATGTCCCATATCATCATGATAAAGCTGTAGTATATTTCTCTCCATATTGTTTGGCACATAAAACAGTATGGTGTTTCCTTTCTTTTTATAGACCAACCCATTTCTCATTTCAAAGTAACTACTCTCTTCTTTTTCTAATTTCTTCCTTATCTCATTAATTACCTCATCTTGGTACTGACATATGGATAGATTTTGTTCAAAAGTATTTTCTTCTAACACTAGTATATTCGTGTTTCTACTAAGTGCATCGACGTGCTGCATCTTTTCTCCTTTACGGTGCTCTAAAGAGTAATCAAAATTTTCTAACTCCAGGGCCCATCTGGCTATCCTGGGATTTATTTCTTTTTTGTTTAAGGTTAACGCTAATGAATGACAATCGGTTACAATTTTAAATTTTATTCCATGTAAATATATCCTGAATCTGCGTAGAGCATAAATAATAGCTAATGTTTCTAACTCGAAACTGTGATATTTTAATTCATGTTCAGTTGTTCTTTTTGAAAAATAGAAAATTGGGTGAAGCTTACCATCCCCCTTTTTTTGTAACATTATAGCCCCGAAACCATGTGAACTAGCATCACAGTGTAGTTCTGTTTGGTCTCTTGGGTCGTATATCGCAAGAATAGGAGCATCAATTAATTTTTGTTTAAGAGTTTCAAAACATTCTACTTCTTTTAGTCCAAACTGAAAAACTGAGTTCTTGCGAACTAAGTCATATAATGGTTGTGCCAATAATGAAAACTGTTGAATAAATCTTCTAAAATATGAACACAATCCAAGAAAACTATGAACTGTTTTAGCGTTATGCGGCACTGGAAAATTAACAACTGATTCTATATTCTTCCCGTCAGGTTGTATCCCTTCTTTAGAAATTATATAGCCTAGATAGTTTATTTTTGATTCCATGAATCTACACTTATCTAAACGCAGCTCTAATTTATTATTTACTAGTCTGTCGAACACTTCTGTCAAAATTTGTAAATGTTCGTCAGCAGATTTCGTGGCGATCATTATATCATCTAAATATATCGCTATTTTTCCTGATCTGATCAAATCGTCAAAAACTTGGTTCACAAAACGTTGGAAAACCGAAGGTGCATTTCTTAACCCGAAAGGCATTTTTAAAAATTCAAACTGTCCTAATGGAGTTACGAAAGCAGTATATTTAATAGAATCCTCACTCATGTGCACGTGATAAAAAGCACTCTTTAAATCTAACAATGAAAATAAAGTTTTACCCGCCAGTCGATCAAGTAAATCGTCGATTAATGGTAGTGGATAGTTATCTTTCAATGTGACTTTGTTCAAAGTTCTGAAATCTACGCATAATCGGGTATCACCTGTTTTCTTTTTAATCAGAACAATAGGAGATGCATACTCTGAATTACTAGGCCTCACAACTTTTTTTCTCATTAACTCGTCAATAATTGACTCTACTTGTTGCTTTTCGTGATATGATAGCCTACGTGGATGGTATTGGAAGGGTTTATCATCATTTAAAATTAATTTCATTTCGCACTTTATCTCAGGTTCATCTGGACGTTTGCGGTTTACATAATCTTCATACAACATATTAAATTTCTTTCTAGTATTGTAGTCAACATCACTATTATTAACACTAATCTCATGAATTGGTTCATGGTATTCAATATTCATTAAATCGTTAATAGTATTTTCATCACAATCTTTATTCTTTTGATTAAAATTAATTAACTGTTCAGTTGGATCATGTTGTATTACTAATTTTAATTTAGCTTTCTTCAAAAAATCTCTTCCTAATAGAACTGGGTAACTCATAGTTTCATTAGCTACTATGAATAATTTAAGATTTATTTTTTTATTATCATATAAAACTGTGCATACTATTTGTCCAAGTATTTGTAAATGACTTTTGTTTATATCAACAAAAATTTAAAATTTTACATTTTTCTTGATTTATTAACTTAACAAGTGGCACGAACTGTTGGCGTATAAAACTGATTGGACTACCAGTGTCAATTAATGATTCTAAATAAAGTGACTGATCAATATTTGAATAATTAAAACTAAATTTTATATTTCTTACGTATTCGTTATCACCCTCAACAGCGTCGGCATAATGCACTTGCGTTTTCCTCATTGAGCAGTCAGCTGCTCGATGTCCCATTTGCGCACAAACGTAACACGCCCTCGGCTCCCGCTTTGGTTTGCGGCATTCAGCTGCAACATGCCCAAGAGAGTTGCAATTATAGCAACGAGTCGATGCAGAAACCACAAAATCGGCTGATGTTGATTTTTCATTCGAAGTGTTCTGGCGAACAGTCAATGATTGTTTTGGTGTTGCTGGTTTTGGTAGACTTATTTTGTGGAACGCTTCCAACAGTTGGTACTTGTCACGGAAACATTGTAATTTAGCTTGTGAACATAAACCATAGTCTGGAATCCCCTCCACAATGTACTCCAGCAGCTCAGTTTCTTCAATGCACAACTTACCCGCGAGAATGGTCTTATCGTAAAAATATTCTTCAAAAGTCTCATTTGTTTGCCACCTTCTGGCTTCAAATGTAAGTTTCAGCTGCAGTTTAGTTGAGCGGTCTTCAAACAGTTTCCCCATATCGTTTATTAGGGTTTCAATTGGTACAGTCATTAAATCGTTTCTTGTATGTAGCCACTTTAACGCCTTTCCATTGAGTTTATTAGAAATCAGTGCTCTAGTATTATTATCATCCAGATTATAAGCCGTTCGGATACTTTGTAATTGTGCTTCCCAAAGCTGAAAATTATCACCAGTTCCAGAAAATTCGGACAGCAATTCTTTTATAGTTGAAAAATTAACTTTATTATTTAACGCATAATCTTTTTTTTCATTCTGTTGGCTTTCTTTTTTTAATGTTTTATTTTCTCTCATTAAAATTTCTTTTTCTCGTCTTTCTATGTTTAGCTCTCGTTTTAACAGTTTGAGCTCCCATTTCAAGAGTTCATTTTCGTTCTCCTTTAACGAATTGACTTGTGCAGCAGAGACACTGTTATTATTTTCTTCTCGCTCAATATTTGTGTTCATAACACTCATTCGACTCATATTCGCTGTCATTTGTTCTGTTATCATTTGTTTCTGACTTACAATTTCACTCATTTGATTCTTCTTTTTATGTGTTTGTATAATTTGTTGTTCCTCAAGAATATGATTGTCATCTTCTTCAGAGTTACTATTGTTGTTGCTTGCGCATGCATCGGCGTCGGCGCCAACATGTTCCGTAAGCGTCACATCATTTAATATTTTTGTCGTTTTTCCTAGAAAAACACCACGGCGTTCCTCAGGTATTTGAATTAATCGGCGAATTAATTCGTTTTTATTACCACTTGTTTTACATCCAAGCTCCTCCAACCAAGCTTTTAATTCAACTAAAGTATAAAGCTGAAGTTTTTTGATGTCAGACATTTTATTAATGTTGAGTAATCCCACTTCTGATATTTTAAGCAATAGTTTTTCCTTTATTTTTAACACGTTTCAATTTCTTACTCTTCTCGTACAATGCTTAACTATAACTAACTCATTTCATACTGTA